GAGAAATCTTTCATAAGAAATTAAGTGTAAATGACTTCATTAATGAAAGGTCATTGAATGCACCACCATGCCTATATTACCATAAAAAGCTGAACAAAAGCTCAGAAATTAGCCGCTGAGAATAAAGCTGCATCAGCAGTTCTGACTCTGATCCAAAGGAAGAAAGTTTGTCAGGATAGAAGATCAGAACACATCAAACACTGTTCTACATCCAGACTTTCTGATTATTGTTCCGTTCCTGGTAACAAACCCCAAACATCATCCCTTATTAATAATCATCAGAGCTAATTATTAATCCATCATTAATATACGGTTTACAGTGAAACCAGGAATATTTGGATCCACTTCAAACTAGAGCCACCGTGGGACACTTTAGAGTTCTGGGCTTGACTGTTTAACTTTAAATACATTATTAGACTAAGATTGAATTCAGGGTTTCTCCTTCAGGATCCAACAGAACCTCAAACCAGAACCAGAACCCAGCTGTGTTTCCTTACAGAGTGACTGGTCAATGGGTCACCCTATCGATTTTAAATCAGTCCGACCTTCAGCTGCAAAGAGGTGAGCTCTGTATAAATGTTTTAACTCTTTGTAACTGAACTGATTCCGTTTGAAATGTTTTGATTCCGTATTTTTATTCCTTTTAATGAAAGTGTTTTTTTCTGGATGTTTTTTCAATTATTCAGTCTTCATTGAGTTTAGGGTAAATATTGTTGGAAGTTTTCTAAAGGTCTGTAGTTCACCTGTTGGTCCAGCAGTGGTCAGACTGATTTCAGCTGACGCCAGAATTTAGGTTAAACATTTTACAAAAACTATCACTGACAGAATAAGTTGTACTCAGTTCAGATTCTAGACGATTGTTTTGTTTCTGAATTTGTGCTTCTGGTGTTTTTCTCCCTCAGTTTTAATTCATATGTTGAATCAGATTACTTTTAAATCAAATAACTAAAGGAGGCAAACCAAGATAAATGACCAGTTTAATCCTTTGATCTGATCATGTTTAACTCTCGGGTTCAAGAGTGATACTGTAGATAAATACTTAAATACTTGCCTTAAACTTAAAAATTTAAGGCAAGCTTTTGTTGGTGGTAAAGAGCAAAACAAATCAAGTCACTGGAGGAAATAACTAAATTTTACTCTCTTATGACCGGTTTTTATTTACTTTATTCCATAAAATCGATATAGAAATTAAAGATTTTTTAATTTGAAGCAAAGAAATGCCTTGTTAAAGCCACCTGACATTCTGATCACTGCTGCACTTTATAAATGGTGATGTTCTCTAAACTGATTTATCTAAGGATGTAAAAATCTCCAACCTTCCTTTGGACTTTGAATTAACTTGCCTATTTTTTTTTTCTAACATAGGCTGCTGCTATAGTATTTTATGGATTCTATGGAATGTTAAACTTATCATTCTGAATTAATTTCCATTAATTTAACTTATTTTTAACATCAGTCTGAGCATCAGAAATCCAAACTCTGATCAGGTAGGAGCTTCCACTCTGGTGACCGGTGTCCCCATTTATAGCTTTTGGATCAGGACACCACAAGGACCTTAGTCTTTGTCTGTTTGTTCTACAAAATGTGAGTTAATGCTTCCTGGTTCCTCCACAGAGTGGACCAGCAGAACTCAGAGGTTCCCAGTGGTCCATCTACCCAGCAGCATCAAACCCAGCTGGACTCCATATTTATGGTCTGTACATGAACTACAACTACTTCTCCATGGGACTGTCAGTCTGTCCAACATAAAGCTGATGTTTGGGTCCATGATCTCAGTCTGATGTGTCCTTCATGTATTGTTCTGTTCAGCTGCTGGAGGAAAACATTGTTAGTTTTGTGAAGAAGGAGCTGAAAAAGATCCAGAAGGTTCTGAGTCCAGATGAACCAGAAGGCTTAGAGAATCAGTGGAAGGATGAGGAGCATTTGAGGAGCAGCAGAAGGGCTTTGGTCAAGATCACACTGAATTTCCTAAACACGATGAATTAGGAGCAGCTGGTTGAACNCAGTTTAATCCTTTTATCTGATCATATTTAAATCTCGGGGTCAAGAGTGATACTGTAAATAAATAGGAAAACTTAAATGTTTAAGACAAGCTTGTGTTGGTGGTAAAGAGCAAAACAAACCAACTCACTTGAGGAAATAACTAATTTTTACTTTCTTATGACCCGTTTTTATTTACATTATTCGATATGGAAAATCAATATAGAAATGAAAGATGTTTTTCATTTAAAGCAAAGAAATGCTTTGTTAAAGCCACCTTACATTCTGATCACTGCCACACTTTATAAATGGTAATGTTCTCTAAACTGATTAAACTAAGGATGTAAAAATCTCCAACCATCCTCTGGACCTTGGATTAACTTGCCCATTTTTTTTTCTAACATAGGCTCTCGCTATAGTATTTTATGGAATCTTAAACTTATCATTCTGAATTAATTTCCATTAATTTCATTTATTTTTAACATCAGTCTGAGCATCAGAAATCCAAACTCTGATCATGTAGGAGCTTCCTCTGTGGTGATGGGTGTCCCCATTTATAGCTTTTGGATCAGGACACCACAAGGACCTTGGTCTTTGTTGTTCTAGAGAATGTGAGTTAATGCTTCCTGGTTCCTCCACAGAGTGGACCAGCAGAACTCACAGGTTCCCAGTGCTCCATCTACCCAGCAGCATCAAACCCAGCTGGACTCCATATTTATGGTCTGTATATGAACTACAACTACTTCTCCATGGGACTGTCAGTCTGTCCAACATGGATCTGATGTTTGGCTACATTATCTCAGTCTGATGTGTCCTTCATGTATTCTTCTATTTAGCTGCTGGAGGAAAACATTGTTAGTTTTGTGAAGAAGGAGCTGAAAAAGATCCAGAAGGTTCTGAGTCCAGATGAACCAGAAGGCTTAGAGAGTCAATGGAAGGATGAGGAGCATATGAGGGGCAGCAGAAAGGCTTTGGTCAAGATCACACTGAATTTCCTAAGCAGGATGAAACAGGAGGAGCTGGTTGAACATCTGCAGAGCAGTAAGAAGATTTCTACAGAGATTTAATGATGGAGAAATGATGACTTTATTTCAGTCAGAAGTGCAGAAAGAAAGAATAATCTATTGAAAGGAATCATTATGATACTAATGATATTCTTTAACCTTTCAGAGCTTTTGGCTTCAGTTTGTCATCGTAAACTTAAATCCAGTCTGAAGCAGAGGTTCCAGTCTGTGTTTGAGGGAATCGCTAAAGCAGGAAGTCCAACCCTTCT